TTCTATGAAGCCAACATTTCACTAATACCAAAACTGAACAAGGACAACACACACAAAAAGAAAACTACAGGCCAATCTCGCTAATGAACACTGATGCAAAAATCCTCAATAAAATTTTAACTATCAGAATCCAACAATGTATCCATAAGATAATTCACCACGACCAAGTAGGATTCATTCCAGGGACACAAGGATGGTTTAACATCTGAAAATCAATCAACATTATCCAACACATCAACAAAAAGAAATACAAAAATCATATGATAATATCACTAGATGGGAGAAAGCTTTTGACAAAGTGCAACACCCGTTCATGATAAAAGCCCTTGAAATTCTTGGGATACAAGGAACATATCTCAACATCATAAAGGCCATATATGACAAGCCAACAGCCAGCATAATTCTCTCTCCTTTTTTTTTTTTTAAAGATTTATTTATTTATTTATACAAGCACTGGCTATAGTCAGAAGCGCGGGAGGCGAAAGAATTCACCAGAGTCATAGGGGAGAGCAGAGCAGGCAGACTGACGAAGTACACTGCTGAGGGGAGCAGCGGGCGGCAGAAAGGCCTGCGCGCCATGTGGGACCCTCACCCTGTGGCCAGGGATCAAACTGGCACTGCAGAGGCTGCGGGCAGCTTCACAACCCAGCGCTCAACCGCTGCGCCACCAGGGGAGGCCCCAGTATCATTCTCAATGGTGAAAAGCTGAAAGCATTTCCATTAAGATCTGGAACAAGACAAGAATGTCCACTCTCACCACTGCTTTTCAATATAATACTGGAAGTCCTAGCCAGAGCAATAAAACAAGAGAAAGACATACAAGGAATCCAAATAGGAAAAGAAGAAGTCAAACTATCACTATTTGCAGATGATATGATAATATACATAGAGAACCCCAAAAACTCCTCAGAAAAACTAATTCAACTCATCAATCAGTTCAATAAAGTGGCAGGATACAAAATCAACACACAAAAGTCAGTAGCCTTCCTATACACAAAATAAATCTGAAGAAGAAGAAATTAAAAAAAAATCCCTTTTATTATCAAAACAAAAAATTAAATACTTGGGAATAAATCTAACAAAAGAGGTAAAGGACCTATACAAAGAAAACTATAAAACAGTGTTAAAAGAAATAGAAGAAGACACAAAGAAATGGAAAGACATCTCCTGCTCATGGATTGAAGTATTAAACATTATTAAAAGGGCCATCCTACCAAAAGCAATATACAGATTTGATGTTATTCCAATAAAAATTTGAATGTCATTCTTCAAAGAAATAGAACAATTATTGATGAAATTCATATGGAATCACCAAAAACCCCGAACAGCAAAAGCTCTCCTGAAAAAAAAAGAAGGGAATGGAGGCATCACACTCCCAGACTTCAAACTATACTACAAAGCCATAATCATCAAAACTGCATGGTATTAGAACAAGAACAGACACCAGACCAATGGAATTGAATAGAAAATCCAGAAATAAACCCACAGATTTATGGTCAACTAATCTTTGACAAAGGAGCAAAGAATATGCATTGGAGCAAAGAAAGTTTGTTCAATAAATGGTGCTGGGAAAACTGGGTCGCTACATGCAAAAGAATAAAGCTTGACTACTACCTAACACCATGCACAAAAACCAACTCAAAATGGATTAAAGAACTAGACATAAGACTTGAAACCATAAAATACATAGAAGGAAATATAGGCGAAACAGTACATGATATGCACATCAAAGACATCTTTACAGACACATCACCCAAAGCAGTGATAGTGAAGGCAAAGATAAACAGCTGGGACTACATCAAATTAAAGAGCTTCTGCACAGCAAAAGAGACAATAACAAAAACAAAGAGAAACCCCACCAACTGGGAGAACATTTTTTCACACAACACTAATGATAAAGGACTGATCGCAAAAATCTACAAAGAGCTGATGAGACTCAACAAAAACAAAGAAAATAATCCAGTCAAAAAATGAGCACAAGAGCTATAAAGAAACTTCTCTGAAGAGGAAATGCAAATGGCTGACAGGCATATGAAAAAATGTTCAACATCACTTGCAATCAGGGAAATGCAAATCAAAACTACAATGAGATACCATCTCACACCAGTGAGAATGGCACATATTAAAAAAACTAGCAACAACAAAAGTTGGCGAGGTTGTGGAGAAAAAGGAACTCTCCTGCACTGTTGGTGGGAGTGCAAACTGGTCCAGCCACTATGGAGAGCTGTGTGGAGATTTCTTGACCTACTAAACAAAGAGCTTCCATATGATCCAGCAATTCCACTCCTAGGTATTTACCCAAAGGACACAGAAACATCAATTCCAAAGAGCACCTGCACCCCTATGTTTATAGCAGCACTATTTACAATAGCCAAGCTTTGGAAACAACCCAAATGCCCAAAAATAGATGACTGGATCAAGAAGATGTGGTACATATATACCATGGAATATTACTCAGCATTCAAAAAAGATAAACACATGCAATTTGCAGCAACATGGATGGAGCTGGAAGAGATCATGCTCAGCGAAATAAGCCAGAAAGAAAAAGAAAAATACCAGATGGTCTCACTCATAGCAGGAATCTAGAAAACTTAAATAAGGGACCAGGAAAAAGAATAACTATAAGAAAGAAAATATCAAAATCAACAAACAACTATGAACCAGAGACACTCTATGGGGGGTTGGGGGGCAGGGAAAGGAGAGATTGGGGTCAAAATAAGGGGGTTGTAATTGTATGGGGAATATAAAAATAAAATTTAAATTAAAAAAAATAAAACAAATGAAGGAAACACTACTCTGGGATTAAAAGCTCTCCAAAATCAATTTGAAACTAAAACTGATTATTATATCTCCAGTAACTTAAATGTCCAGAACAACAATGTAAAGAATCCTCTCCTTGATAATAATGATCTTTAAAGTACAAGTGGAGAACGAAACTGATAAGACATGGCTGCTTCTCAAAATCAGAAGTTTGCTTATTCCAGCTTTGCTTTCTAAGTCAAAAACACCCAATGGCCTGAAAGTGTTCTCATTATTAAGAGAAACAGGAAACATTTGACGTCACTTGTTCTTAATGGATTTTCCTGTCAATAGTTTGTCTAAAATGTTGCCTTTCCTGGAACATCAATATTTTAGGGATCCACTTTGGATCAGAATAATTAAAATGTCTGCCAATATGGTAATTAAAAAAATGACATAATGGAAATCATACTACATGGAGAAGCACTACCTGGGTTAAAACCTGAAACCTCACAGGAATGAAGAAAAAAAACCCGGACGAGGCCAAGTAAACCACATTCGAGTTTGCTGTTGATGTTCGTCACGGGCCTTGATAAAGACTGTGCTAAATGAAGGCCATTGTTTTAATAAGGCGTTCTGGTTCCTATATATGAAATAATAGAGCTGTCTCTTCTCTATTTAGTGAAGTGCCCTGTTTCCACTAGAGGAAATAGATTAATATTGAATCTTGTGAACCAGAGCAAAGCAAGTTGAATTTACATTTAAATACATTGGCCTATGTCAAAATCCCCCAGACCTCTTCTTTGGGAGAACAGTTTTAGAACAATATGGCTACATCATGGGATTATAAATGTCCGTTTTATGCCCACTATAAATTACTACTTTCAGTTTTTTTTATATCTAAAAGGGCAGGTTTATTATAAAAAAGGGAGAAAGGAATAAAGGCCACTTGCATAAGCAGAAGCGAGCAGAAAGAACTGCCCCTTAGAGGGACAGGTTTGCTAAAGAGAGGTAGAGAGGTCTGCACGGTCACAGGTGGGCAGCCTTGGGAGGAGCTGCCTCTGCCCCTTTGCAAAGGGAAGTAGGTGAAGCGAAGCACCTGCATAGTCACAGGTGGGCAGGAGAGCTGCTGCAAGAGAGAAAGAAGGCAAAGAAGAACATTTGCATAGCAGGCGGGCAGAGAGCTGCTGTCACTACTTTCAATTATTAAGAAAATTTTTTTTCTAAGCAGTCAAATGAGAGGTCAATTTTCTGATGACTTAGTCATAATTTTTTGAGATAATTTTATAATTTACAATAATTAATACTAAAATGAGTTACCATATAAAATATGTATTAATCACTAAAGTACCTGTTTCTGGAAAAATTTTTATTTCTTTTTGTATTTTATTTTCAAATTTAGTTTTCTTATTAGATTGAGGCTTAATTGGAAGTGTTTCTTAGTTTACTCTTACCAGCTGGTTACCTTGTATATGCTTTGCTAAGTAGTTTCTAACTTATCTTACTAACTTACTGTCTGTAAAGAAACATTTAAATATAGTATGGAAAGTCTCATTCACAAATACATGCATAGTGGTGAGTTAAAAAGGGACAGCTGTTAACACAAATTTAGTTTGAATTTTGGTTTCATACTCCACTTCTCTGAGGTTCACTTCTCTTTATCTGTAAAGCTGGGTGAATAAAATGTAAACTAATGTGAAGAAATAAAAACCATATTTAAAGTACCTACTTAACACACTAACACAGTAAATAATTCAACAAATATTTGTTCCTTTTCATTTCTCCTCTATTATAAAGCAACTTTGAAAAACTATTAATAATCTTCCCATAAGTAAGTATTAGTTTGGTTAGTTCAGATTTTCATGTGTGGACTTCCTAGGAGTACTGTACACATGTCTCTGGAGGTAGCAATTAGGATAGCCCATAACCTTTTAACTTAGTCAGTTTTTAGAATACAAATTTCAGGATTTTCCCATCAAAATTTTAATTGTAACTCTCAGCAGAGAACACCTGCTCTTTGGGAAAAGTACCTCTTTTTCAGACATGTGAATCTTAAATGAGGTTTGAACCATGTAAAAGATTTTTAACTATTAGAACTAAACACATCAAGTATGATTACAATTGTTATATTAGTACATTTGAACTCTAGAAATATTTTGTGATCTACTCATGTAATACTTCATTTTTTCATTAAAATTTTATTAATATGCAAGTTATAAGTTAGAGCTAAATGGGAAAGATGACATAAAAGCTGAGTTTACCTTAACAGCATCAAAATACATCTTCTTAGCTTCTAGATCTTTCTTGTCAGACATTAACCATGCCTTTAGCAAATATTCATAAAAGCTGTCTCCAAGTCCTCCAACTGATACATGATCTGCAAAGTGCGGGAAATGAATTTTTCAGTGATTCAGCCTTTAAAATTCAGATAATGTAGCAAAATCACATTAGCAACTAGGATGCAAAACCCTATGTCAACTACAACTCAATGTTACATTTAAATCCAACAGATCTTTTATTTTCAGAAAGATATTCTGCAATGAGCAGATGCACTGTTAACTAATATAATATACTCTAATTAATTACCAGGCTGATTTTATAAACATGAAGATAACAAATATATAATCACCCTTAATTCCACAAATCTGGTTCTCTAGTAAAACTAGCAACCTAAAATGTTTCGCAATATATATTCAAATATATTTTTAATTGGTTTAGTTCTCAACAATTTATACTGTTGTAGATATCAGCATTATAAATCTTTTTAAAAAGTGTCTTGCAATAAAATAAGATCCTAACTTCTTGCAATCAGTGTTATTGCTCTTGCTTTTATTATTTTAAACAACTGAGAAGATTTTTCCAGTATTATAAATCTGAAGGGTCAAAATCCTTTTTTTGGGGGGGCGGTGAAAGACGATAGAGCAACACAAGTTTTTCTTCCTAATTCTCCATTACTATAATCCTACAGTTTCTTTTAAAAATGCCAGATCCACTACATATATTACCAGAAACAAGGGTAGGTGTCTTCACTAAAAGTAAGAAAACTGAGGCCCAGAGATGCCAATTGAGATTATGACATTGGTAAGTGCTGTCTGACTCTACTACCTGCATTGGCTCTTATATTTAGATTTGCTTGCTCTCCACCCTAACACTATGTTCCTGCTTACTGCTTGAATCAATATATATTTTTTTAAACACATTCACCCATAAACACAGGGTGCAATCTATCTGAATCATCATTCCTAGAATTCATAGAGAATTTGAACAATTAGTAAAATAGATTTATTTTGAAAAATTGCATTTTAAGTTTCATAATGTAAGACTAATTTATGTACCTATTTTTTAAAAAATCAAACCTTTATGTGTTTATTTAGGTATACAAAAGTAAATTACATATGCTATTGAGACAATTTTCTCTTGATGCATACCCAACAACTCCACTAGGTGGTCTCTATGGGGACCTACAATTGAACAGGTTAAAACTGAATACATTATCTTTTCCTCCTCAAACTTATCTTCTGCTTTGGTCTCTATCTCACTAAGTGGCACCAGCATCTTTCCAACAGTACAAGTTAGACATCATCATTCTTTACACTTCCTCCCTCCTTCATTCTCATATTCAATGAAAAAATACTCTAGAGCATTTTATCTCCTATGCCTTTTGAATGCATCCACTTTTTCTCTATCCTCACTAATATGATCCTGGACCAAGGCAGCACTATCTCCTGCCTCTGAATTAGCAGTGGCTAATAGTCTGATCTCATGTACTCTGACAATATGTGGCTATTTAAATTTAAATTAGTTATGATAAAATTTTTTTAAAAATCAAGTTATTGACTATACTAAGTGTTCAATTAGTACAGGTGGCTGTACTGGACAGGGGAGACAGTGATCCTTTTCATCATCACACAAAATTCTAATGGCAATGCCAGTCTAAACTATTCCCCTCCATTAATGCCAGAGTAACCCTTTCAATATGTGAACTGGTTCATCTCATTTGAAACCTTCCATAATGAAGACTCAAATCCTGCAAAGACTGAATCCTGCATGGACTCAGTATTCTCTTTATCATCAATCCTGCTCTACTTCTTTCTGTTCCTTTGGTTCCTTTAAATCATCAAACTCCTTCCTACCACAGGCATTCTAAAGGCATTGTTCTCTCTGCATAAAGTATACTCCCTCACTCTTTTCCCCTTTCATTTAGTAATTCTTACTCATACTTCCCATCTTTGGATCAAATGTTACTTCTCCAAAGAAGCCTTCTCTGCTCCCCCACACTGGGTTTTTTATATACTTTTTGATAACACACACATATACACTGGTAATTTAATAAAATGGTGGGTTTTTTTCTTTCTGTTTCCTCCATGACATTGTGATTTAAGGCCAGTTATGTTTCCCAGACCATATCAGCCCCTATAATGTATCTTGCACATAGTAGGTACTCAATAAAAAAATGATAGGCAAAGCCAAATTTTCCTAAGTCAACCTTAATAAGGAGTAAAACTATTCAAGTGAGAAAGTCTATATTTTTTATTTAAACATGTGAGTTTCTTATTGCAAAAAGTCCAGAATCATAGTCTTGTTTTTTTATTTAAAGTTAGTTTTTAGGCTGATTCCTAAGAGTAGTGTTTGAAGTTACCTTTATAGTTTCCTAAATGTCACCACAGAAACCTCTGACATTTACAAACTAGGTACTATCTCATCATTAATAAGCCCTGTTGTTATAAACATGATTGCAAGAGACAAATGCAAGTGATGTGTGGTAAAGCAAATCACTATCCGGTTACTGTCAAAATAACAAGGACCAAATGAAGTAATAGGAAGTGATGGCAATGATCCAGACATGTCTTTCAGAGTTAAAGCAATGAGAGTTGAAAACTAACAGCCAGAAGCAGCTTCATCTTCTTCCCTCTTGGGTTATGATTCCATAATAGATGGAAGAATGAAGTTTGGATACTTGGTGATTTTTAAAAAAGGTTACATAATACATTTGTTTTGATGAATTTGGTAAGTGCTAGTTAATTTTCTATTGTTTTACTTCCTGCCTATAAAATTTTACATTTATAAAGAATCAAACTAAAGAACACACAGGAGAAACAAAAGAAAGTCTTTTTGATAATTTAGTACATCACTCACTAAACTACCCCTGGGTCTGGATGACTGTTTGTGTTGGCAACAGAGACCTGTGTTAATATATTAGTGAATGTGGAAGAGAACATGCCTGATTTTATCATCAGGAAGGGACTGCCTACTTTTCCAAAGAATACATATGGTATTTTTAATTCCCAAATGCTCTAAAGGTAATGTGTACTATAGTCACTCAAATATTAGGAGCTTCTGTATAAGGGATAACTTATTCTTTCCTTCCACAAGGAATAAATCCCATAAAAGAATTCCTATTATGTAAAAAGAGATAAATAGCAAAAGAATCAAGGCAAAAAAGATCACTTCATATTTTAATTTTTTTTTAAAGATTTATTTATCTATTTATACAAGCACTGGGTACAGTCAGAAGCACGGGAGGGTGAGAGAATTTACCAGAGCCAGAGCAGGGAGTAGAACAGGCAGACTAATGAAGTACACTGCCAAGGGGAGCAGCGGGCATGGTAGGAGAGATCTGCGCGCCAGGTGGGACCCTCACTGGCAGCCGGGTATCAAACCGGTGCTACAGAGCCTGAGCTACTGGGGAGGTCCTTCATATTTTAATTTTTTAATATTTTGTAGAATTCATCTGAATCTGGACCTCTCACCTCAAAACAATCCTCAACGATGCAAGTAAAACACACACACACACACACACACACAAAACCCCCTTGTTATATTAATCAAAGAAGGGTGGTAACTATTCTATTTATTGACATGGAGTCCCACATATGTGACAACAGTCACAAGATCTCTTTATATGATCACTGACCAGGACAGGATGCTGCCTCTCAGTCATAACTGATGAGCAGGAGCAAGTATTAAAAGATAATAGATCCGGGTCTCCCTGGTGGCGCAAGGTGTTAAGCAATGCACTATGAAGCAATAGCAACCTTTGAAGCATGAGTTTGATCCCCAGACGGCCAGGGAGCAACCCACATGGCGAAGCAGACCTCTCCTGTCTCCCCCGCTTCTCCCCTCAGCAGTGTACTTCGGTCAATCTGCCTGTTCTGTTCCCCGCTCTGTCTCTGATGAATCTTCTCACCCCCCACATCTCTGGCCTGTACCCCAGCTCTTGTATGCATAAATAAATAAATCTTTAAAAAAAGATAATAGATCCATTAAAAGTAGAGATGGAAAGACATATAAGATGTAGAGTGCATGAGTATTCACAAATTTCAAGTGAGGAAATGCCTAGTAGATGCAGGATTCTATGTGCTGGGGAAGAAATAGGACTAAGACATAGTCACCACTATTAAAAAGTTTGGGATCCTGAGAGCCCGTATGTGAATCATTAAGCGAGGGATTGAGATAGGAAAGTACCCAAAGTTGGAGCAGGAGAGGAGGAAGGAGGTGAGTAATGGAGGAGTGGGTGCTAACAAATTCCAACCAGGGACTGAAGAAGGTGACTGAGGTGGGTCTTAGCAGAGAGAAAAGAGAGGTAAAAGACAAATAGCATGATGTAACACCTGAACCTAGCTAGGTGTCTTCCTTGTGGCTGGAATACAGAATGGAGGGTGGGGTGGAGAGATATGGGATCATCAACCCTGTTTGTTTTTTCCATCAGGAAATTGGCTGATAAGCAAGTCAAATATAAAGGATTCCCAGTACCAGGAAACATGGCTAAATACATAGCATATTGTGACCCTGAAAGTGAAGCTAGATGTTCTAGTACACATGACTTTTTGGATCTCTTCATAGTGACTTCTAAATCCTAAATCATAGGAAGAAAACAGTAAATAATAAAGACTTTCTTCAACTTTTGTAATCTTTTGTGAGGAGAACTCTAAAAAAAATGCTTGTTCTTTCAGAGAACAATCCTTCGAAAGCTACTCAAGTTGTTTTATCCCCAATATTCTAGTGGCTCTCAGACTTTTAGTCTCAGTTTATACTTAAAAATGAATAAGCACCCCAAAGAACGTGTTTATGTAATTATCGATCAATATTTGCCAGAGTGGAAATTAAGAGTGGGTTTAAAATACTTTTATTAATTTATTAAGATAATAATAGGCTCATTAATTTATGTTTATGGGTTTTTCCCATAAAAATGTAATATTTTACAAAGCAAAAACAATTACTGAGAAGACTGATACTGTTTAATATTTTGCAAATCTCTAATGTTTGCCATAGTACAAAAGCTAGATTTCACATCTGCTCTATGCTGAATCTCTTGCTATATGTTGCCCTTGATGAAACAGAGAGAGAAAATTCAACTTCACATCATTATATAAATGGAAAAGGCAACAGTTTTTTTATAGTCTTTGAAGATAATTTTAGATATTTTTCTTTGGTACTATAACAAAATTTGGCAAATGAACTTTTATGAGTTAAAGTTTTTAATAGTTATTTATAGTGTGGAATTAAAAACCACATCCAGGAATTTTTGTAGTGTTAGATAAAAATCTATATTAATCTAGCCTGCACTTTGAATGGATCTTATTTTCCCATATGATTTTGTAACAGCAGGCACTGGTCATTTGGAAAATACTGATTTGCTGAATTATGCAAATCTTCCAAATGTTGACACATTTCATTACATTGTATTGAAAAAACATATTTGTTAATCACTGCCAATCTCATGAAAAAAGTCTTTAAATGTTGGCAGAAAGTCTTAGTAGTATTATAAAAATAGCTTATGGACCTCCCGAAAGACCTCAGGTATGTCCAGTGATCTGCTGGCCACACTTAGCAACCTTGGTTATGGTCTTATGGTCTCAAAAGGTAGGCCTTCAACAGCCATTACAGTCACAGATTTCAGTACCTATTTTTTTATTAAAATACCCTTTAAGTATAATTACTTCTAAGTAACAGTGACACATAATCATCTAAGAATATGATATTTAAATATTAAAAAAAACAAAGTAGAGTAAAATTTTAAATCACTGCTAATGCCCTTAACACAGTTAAGCATCTCAGTTAGTATTCTCAATTTTCTGCTTAATCTACTATTTTTTTCAAATTAGTCTGAGAACACTTCCCTCCATTACTCTGAATCTTTAAACTTCTACACAAAGTCCCTAAGGGTCTAAGTGAGGCCTTGAGCCACATACTTTCTTCTATTCTAAAGGTACTCTTACTAGCAAAAACCTTTGTCTGTTATTTTAAAATTTAGTAGAGAAACACATTGCTTATTCTTCCAATTTCAAAGCCTTTAAAGATTCAGGGTCTTCTCTCATCTTGTAGCCCAGAAGAGAGAAAATGTTATGAAATATAATAATCTGGTTACTCTGTGTAAAACCCTGTTAATCATTAGCACAAAGGAATAACTTTCTCTTCTATACATGACTATGTCTAGCTTGCTATAGGCTAATATCTCCATGTTACCCTGAACATATCTTTCCTTTCTGATCAATTGCTTTAAATGTGCTTATATGCCATCATACTCACAGTTACATATGAAAAATAAACACTAGTTTCCTGGTGACACTTTATCTTTTGACAAAAGATAAACACTTTTCACCTTTTCTAAACATTCTCCAAACAGATTTATGCTGTTTTGTATTCTTTACCTTTATTACTAGAACAGTGTTAAAACAAAGTTAGTCTTTTGACTTACATTGACCCCACTGTCCACTACTGGGATTGAGATAGTTAGGATAAAGTCCTTCTGGTTTTTCCAGGTTGTTAAGTACTTTTCGAATATTCATTACCTATAATAGAAAAGGAAAAGTTACTATCAAAATCTGAAAAACAAATTTAGTATTCTTCTCTCTCTGTTAATTACAGTTTTCCATGTCAAGAGACAAAAGCTGGGGGCTTCCCTGGTGGTGCAGGGGGTTAAGATGCAGCCTATGAGGCTGTCCGCAGCCACTGCAGCATGAGTTCGATCCTCCGCCAGGGAGCAACCCACATGGTGCAGCAGACCTCTCCTGACTCGCCTGCTGCTCCCCTCAACAGGGTACTTTGGTCAATCTGCCTGTTCTGTTTCCTGCTCTGTCTCTGGTGAATCCTCTCACCCCCCACACCTCTGGCCTGTACCCCATCTCTTGTATGTATAAATAAATCTTTAAAAAAAAAAGAAACAAAAAGCTGATTTAAATGACACAGAATTAGAACAAAGGCAGTTGTAGTATTATGAAAATACTGGTAAATGAATCTAGTCACATAGATTTACCACATGCCAGACACCATATAAGGAACTAGTGAAATATTAGTACATAAACAAAGTCATTCCCCTCTTGGAGTTTGCATTCTAGTGATAATAAACAAACATGTCAGGTGGTGACCAACGCTATAAAAAACATACAAGAGGGTAACGGGACAGAGAGTGATGTGAGGTAGTAAGGCTGTACAATGTTACCCAGAATAGGTGAGGGAGGCTACCGGAGAATGTTGGATCAGACATTTAAATAAATGAAGGAAGAAAGAGGAATATCTCAAGTATATAATCTAACCTTAAAACTTAGGGAACTAGAAAGAGAAGAACAAACAAGACCAAAGCCAGTAGAAGGAAGGAAAAATAAAATAGAGCAGAAATAAATGAAATGGATAGTCAAAAAGATTAATGAATCAAAAAGAGGAAAAAATGAAATAGACAAACCTCTACTAGGTTCACACTCACATACAAAAGAAAACTCTAGTAAATAGAATCAGAAATGAAAGAGCAGAAGTTTGACAGACTTCTCAGAAATCCAAAGGATCATAAGAAATTGTTGTGAACATCTACATGCTAATAAATTGAACAAAGGAAGAAGAAATGGACGAATTATTAGAAATATACAACCTTTTGAGGCTTATGCAGGAATATAAAACCCGAGCATACCAATTATAGGCAAGGAAATTGAAACAGTAATCAAAAACACAAGCCCAGGTCCTCATGGTTTTACTCATGAGTTCTACCAACCTTCAAAGACAAATTATTGTAATACCTATCCTTCTTAACCTCTTCTAAAAAACTGAGGAAAAGGGAATGTTTTCAAATATATTTTATGAGGCCAACATTATGCTGATACCTACAAGGGGATCACAAAAAATAAACCAAAACAAAAAATTTGACAGATGAATCTCCCTGATGGAAAAAGATTAAAAAATCCTCAACAAAATCTTAGAAAATGGAATTCAACAATACATTAAAAGGATCATAACTCATGAAAAAATGAGATTTATTTCCATGATGAAAGGATGGTTCAACATCTGAAAATCAATCAATGTAATTCACCACATCGACAAAAGGAAAGATAAAAATCTATGATCATCAACAGATGCAGAAAAATATTTGATATGATTCAACAACCATTTAGGGTAAAATTCAGAAAAATGGGAATAGAAGTAATCTATCTCAATATAATAAGGCCCATATATTACAAACCCACAACTAACATGATACCCAGTGGTGGGAAACTGAAAGCTTTTCCCCAAAAAGCCAGACAAGCTTGTCCACTTTTACTATGACTGCTCAAAACATAGTATTGGAATTCCTAGCTAGAGCAATTAGGCAAAGAGAAAAAAAAACCCAAAATCCTCCAAAAAACAGATATAAAAGGAATAAAAATTGAGAAAGAAATAAAATTCATTATTTACAGATGACATGAAAATATACACAGAAAACTCTGAACACTCCACTAAAAAAATTACTGAAATAATAAAATCAGTATAGCAGTGACAGGATACCACTGCAGAGACCAAGTGGTGGCTCCTTGGAGCAGGGTGGAAGCAGAGGTAACAAGATAGAGGCAATAGATTTCTTGATGGATTAGACTGGAATTTATTATTATTTTTTAAAGATTTATTTATTTATTTATACAAGCACTGGGTACAGTCAGAAGCGTGGGAGGGTGAGAGGATTCACCAGAGCCAGAGCGGGGAACAGAACAGGCAGAGTGACGAAATACACTGCTGAGGGGAGCAGCGGGCAAGGCAGGAGAGGTCTGTCGCGCCATGTGGGATCCTCGCCTGCAGCCGGGGATCGAACCAGCACTGTAGAGGCTGCAGGCAGCTTCGCAGCCCAGCGCTCAACCACTGCACCACCAGGGGAGGCCCTAGACTGGAGTTTAGTAAAAAGAGGAGCCAGAATGTCTTCAAGATCTTTGGTCTGAGCCACTGGTTAAACTGATGTGCAATTTACCATGAGTATGAAGAGTAAAGTGAAAGCAAATCTAGTGGTGAGTCTGAGGCATTTTAAGTGGCACCTGTTTATTAAATCTCATTATGGAAATGTGAGAGAAGTGCAAATGAAGCAGTATGAGGATATTCTTAGACAATGATCAGACTCCATGAAGAGAGGAAAGGTAATCGTTATTGGCATTCCAGAAGGTGAGCGGAGAGACAAAGGAACTGAGAAATTATTCAAGGAGATAATTGAAGAAAACTTCTTTGTGGAAATGTTAAGTAGGTAGCTGGATATAGAGTCTGAAGCTGAAGATAGGCTGGGCCTGAAATAATAAAAATGGTACCAACAGCATACAGGTATACCATATGTAAAGCCATGTGATAGGATGGAATAATGTAGAAAGTGAACATAAAAAGAACTGGCCTGGGTTTGAGACCTGGGACTTTCCAATATTTAGGAGGCCTACAGCCAAGACAGAAAGTGTCTCTTGGAGAAGGAAGTAAGTGTGTAATCTACTGAAATAACAAGGAAGAGGAGAGGTAAAAGAGCTCCTGGATGAGGCAATGGGAAGCTTGCTGGTCGCTGTGACAGGTGTAGCTAGGAGAAAGTCCAATGGGAAAGTGTTCAAGAGTGGGGTGGACAAGAAGAAAAGATGGCAGAGGCAACTCTTCCAAAGAATTTTCTTGTAAAGAGGAACTGAGAAATGGGGTGAAAATTTAGAGCAATCATGGGTGAACATGAATTTATCCAAATATCTGTAGGTTTGTTTCTTGAAAATTTGAAATTCATTCAACTGCTAACTCACATTTGTGTAACACTTTGAATTTAAAAAATCACATACTTGGTTCACACAGTTCATACAACACTACATACTTTAGATGAGGGAAAAAAGTGAGAGACATAGAAAGACATGCTTGAGGTGCAGAAAATCAGACACGCAGAGCTGGGGCCTCTCATACTAAGTTAGCATGGTTCCATGGAAAAACCATGGGTTTAGTTTTGTTAAATGAAATGCAGCATGTAACATAATTCATGACAAGCCACATTAAACTTGGTTGGTCTTTTCCGTCCAATGTTACTAAATTTCCCAGGAGAGGATATTGTTTCTCATAAGTACTGCTTTGCAAACCATGGCATATTAGAGACTCACCTTTTCAGCAAAGACTGGGTTTCCTGATAAGTGGCTCAAGTGCATAAACTCCAGATGCAGAGTTCCAAATTCGGCTAAAATACTGCTGCCTCCTGAGGCCCAAGGCCAGTTCCGTCCAATCCCACTAAAGAAGAAAAGAGATTGGAGAGTTATGGATTAACCTAATTCAATTTTGGGAGCAGTTCTAAATAGTGGAAGTGGAAGAAACAGCTTTGAACAGTGACATCTCAGCTAATAGTCCACTCCAGATATTTGAAAATATCCAGCATTTTATCCTTAACTAGTTGTCAAAGACTAGCTATCAAAGACTCTTACGTCCAAATTGACTCATACCTCCAAATTGAAAATCAGTGTTAGTTTAAGCCAGAAAGAAATTGCTTTGTGCTTGGTGTTGATAAAGAGACAAATATTTTGGAAGGCACAGGAGTCATGTAGAGATGAACACCCATTCCAAGTAGACTACAAGCAAGATTAGACCATAACATCCCATCATGCTCCATATCCCACATACATTCCTTCACTATTTTAATTAATTTCAGTATCACAATTCACATACTTTTATAGATATTCATATTATATACAATTTCTTGGATCTAAGATAAATTCCAAGTACTCATTGGTCCCTCTTCAGGCCCTTCCTTCATTTACTATATTTCCTTCCTTATGCATACTCCTTCACATTATTTTACCAATTTTCTAGGTATAATTTCTAACACATTCATTCTTTATCCTCTTTAATCTATGCTCAAGAATTTCAACAAACTTATGTAATTCAAATCTGAAAGGGGTCAAAAGCATGAGCTTCAAAAATTATTCCCTCTTGGCTCATCTTGGAGAAATGCTTTTAAAAAGTATAATTTGTTCTAAATGCACACATATAAATACACATGGCTAAAAGATGAAAACCCACATTTTGGTTTCAGTTCAAATGCACATTTATTGGATGTCTACGTTTTGCTATGAACTATGCATAGGGCTGAGTTACATGGATGGTTACATGAAAATAATCACTTTTTCTTTAAGACTTCATGGTGTAATGGGAGTGAAAGGCTAAGCACAAATTATTCTAACCAAATATGGCAAATACTAAGATAAGTGTGTGAGTTCTCCAAGCATTTAGAGTTAGGCCATACAGTCCAACATGGTGGGGGTCACTGATGACCACTTCAAGAAAGAGACTCTTAAATTGATTTTTTTAAAGATTTATTTATTTATACATACATACATACATACATACATACATACATACATACATACAAGAACCGGGGCACAGTCAGAAGCGCGGGAGGGTGAGAGAATTCACCAGAGCCAGAGCTGGGAACAGAACAGGCAGACCGATGAAGTACACTGCTGAGGGGAGCAGCGGGCGGCAGGAGAGGTCTGCGCGCCATGTGGGACCCTGGCCAGTGGCCAGGGATCGAACCGGCGTTGCAGAGGCTGCGAGCAGCTTTGCAACCCAGTGCTCAACCGCTGCGCCACCAGGGGAGGCCCTTAAATCAATTCTCAAAGGATAAGCAAGAAGCAGTGAGGGAAGAATGGCGAGAGGGAGAACTCAAACATGGAGAGACACAGCAGAAGGGGCTAGTCAGGAACTGAAGGTAGCTTCTAAATACCGGTGGGTGGTGGACAGGAGAGGTGGCAGTAGAGAAAGCAACAAGGCTAAGTGAAGTCCCAGTCCTAGAGGCCTGTAGACCTCTCATTTTCCTCTTTCCAAATTGGACTCTTTTACACTGTTCTTGGTTTTCTACCCCTTCTCGTTTTTTGCATTATGTCATTCACAACTGTGAGTAAGCCCATCCAGTTCTATCACTGTTTCTGCTGCAGGGCTGCTGAACAATGCTGAAGGAGAGAAAACTGAACCGTATTTTTTTTTTTTAAGAGTAAAATCTAGATTTTATTTCCAAACACAAGTTTACAGTAAACCTAATAAAAAGTGAAAATAAATAAAAGTGATCTGAAAATATTACATTTTAGAAAACATATTTACTAAGTTCTGGGGGTGTCGAGTCAGTTTTTGTTTTCATGGTTGGTTTAGATGAAAGGAATATCCAATCATCCAAACAGAACAAACAGCAACTTCTAAATTTTAGTTACATGGGGCAAACACACATAGTAATTGGTCACTGCTGTAATGATACATTATTTTGGTATTCCAGACTTACCAAAGTCAGTAAGCGGAGAAAGCAAAAACTATAAATTTCTATGTTTCAGAGACTGTTAATCACAATATTTACATCACAACATAAGTGAGAAGTAATGACATCTTCAACCTGGGGAAGAAAGGGGTTGAGGAAACAGCCTGTTTTTAGGTTGTTAGGGACTTTTCAGTTCAGGCTAACAGAGTGGGTGGTGGCACTCTCAGATATGAAATACAAGCAGTAAGGGATGTATTAAACTAAAATTCAAGTTACTTGTTACTTTTTTATATCCATGCCTTCGTTGTCTGCTATTCAACGTGGTTATGCAAAAGAAAACCAGAGAAATATGGACAATCTTTCATTATGTCAAAAAAATTTAGATTTAAGGGGGTTACACATGTTCTGATTTCTCCTTTGTACACATTCGTATCAGAAGGAAGACACTACTTGTTTTGATCACTCTTTAATTATATAGGGAACAAGTCTATTAAAAGTACTAGCAAAGGTTATGTTATGTTAACAGAAGAAAGTCGGATTTAGAATACATGGTATATTATATAAAATAATGACTTTGGCTACAATTCTCTCAACCTACAGAAATACTGTATCATAGTTTTACTGAAGTCATTATTACAATATATGAATATTATATATATATATATAGTAAATATATAAGTAAAATTATAGGATGAATGGTTGTACTGGCTGTTAAATATTAGTCAGGGTAGGGTTTCAAGAAATCAGAGTGTGTGTAATCAAATCTAGACATTAAGTAAGGTCACAGCTGTATGACCTGGATATAGGTCGTAGGGAGATCATGAAGAACATAATTAGGTTTATCACAGATAAAATAAACCCATGTTGGGGAAATGACTGTCTACTTGCAAAGCAATTGTGCACCAAGTCACAAACTAGTTTTGGACACTCACAAATTATTTCTAAGATTTTTTTTTTGTCTTTAAATCTGGAGTCTATTTAGGAATCTATGTATCTACAGGGCTTTAATTTCCAGAATAGCATATATGGACACCAAAATGGTGGGTTTGTGGTAAAGTGAAAGGAGTCCAGAAAGAGTTCTACAACGCTGGTCTGGGGGGGGTCAGGGTTTCTTGAGCATCCCATGAAGCCAAAGGCTAAGCTTTCTAGACCCCTGGGTCAAAATGAGTCTCAATTGCGGTAGTAGGGATTTAAATGTCTTTCAGTTTCATTATCACAAAAGCAGTCATGGTGTTCCTTATTTGTTTTATCTTTATTTTACAAATGCTAATATTTTGGAAAAATATTTTAATGATAAAATAACAGTTTGTGTTCAGAAACTATTAGTTCCATAAAGCAGGCATAAAAGGGATGAATACTTAAATATTCCCAATCACGTTGTAATGACTGCAATTGAAGCCAAAATGATATGTCAGCATATGGAAATGTATACACAAAAAGGCAATTAACATGATTTGGGATGCAGCCAAGTATTTGATTCAAAGGATCCTAGAACAGAATGTCAAACTTTTGTAACACTCTAATTTCATTTATTTCTATTTCTTCCAATCCCCACTTCTTCCATTTTAAACTGAAGCATTATTTAATGTATATATTTCAATTTTTAATTTAAAATTTCAGTATTCTATAAAAGTAATGATTCTTTGAGATCTTTTAAAATGTGTAACACCATCATTTTATTTTGTTTTAGAGAGTACAACTTGAATGTAGTTTATTAGCAGTGGTAATATATTTCTTCACTTTACTGCACTCATGTAAGAAAACATAATTATTTATTGGCTTCACAGCCCTGATAAACAATGGGCATTTTACGTTTTTCCTTCTTCCTCTTGGGAATAGTTAATAGCATCAAGAAGAGACTACAGTACTAATGATGCTATTCTACTCACGCTGAATCCCACAAGAGAGCTGCAAACTCTTTTCCTAGAGCTTGTAATGTTCTGGATTGATGGTATATTCCTTCACAATAATCTAAAGAATAACCTAAAATTTTATGTTATAGTGACTGTCCAGATACAATCTGAATCATTAACAAATACATTTTGGTTACTTAGTATAATGAAATGCAGTAAAAAAAAAAAAGAATATATATAACTGAAATGATTCTAAAAAGTCTCCAGATGAATCTATAAACAAAGCCTCAAAGGTTAAGTCTTGACTGGCTCTGACTATCAACTTACTCTCCCTTGTTGCTTGCTATTCTATGAAATGGGAATGGGCCATTAAAGAATTTTCTTGAGCATTCTTGCCTAAATAATTTCTGGTTAGCTAATCAGTAAACTAGTTCCCTTCAAGTTTGTCATCCAGAATATAGGTTACTCCTTGGGGTTATGGAGTTAATGTTATGAATGAAAAAAAATTCCCTCTACTCTGTATATTATGGTAAAGCTTTATTTATTTATGCAAATAGAAGGGCACATAGAGGTATTTAAATCAAAAGAGTAAATAATTCAATATTACCCTTTTTGTATATTAGCACAAATTATGAAGAATAATTAGAAAGTCCATGACTGACTGTTTCATTTAACTGTATTCCCAAAGCTAACTGATTTTGAGAAGCAATTTTGGCTTCACTTATTACAAATTCCCAAAAAGGTTCTCCCAGCGCCGATCTTTAAAGTTTTCAGTTTAAGACTTCAGTAATGGCTGGACCAACAATTCTAGGGACTAGCATTTTAAGACTGGTCAAAATTCTACTGCAGCTATTAACAGAAATTCTGACTGGGAAGGATTATTATTCCCTCAAGAACTATTCTATAAGGGAAAATTGGCTTATAAAGGGCAGCTTCTGGGCTGAATTAATTAATAATCCATGGCTTATTTGTCTCCACAGCAGCTTGTATGTTAAATCCCTAATGTATTCTCATTCATAATTTTTTTAACTAAGGGTCAAATTAATTTTTTAAAATTAGTCATATCTTATGTCCTCTTATGGGCAGTTATTTTTAAAGGGAATTGAAATAGAACAGTTATTATTTCAGTTTATTCT